CCCCCCAACACACACACGCACCCCCCCCCACACACACACACTCACTCCCACACACACGCATGCTCACACCTACAGGTACACACTTACCGACCAGAATAAAGATAAGACAAAAAATACAACATAAATAACAACAAAATCACCAAACAGCAATACCAAAACAAGAACCATATTACCAAAAACGATGACGATAATAATGTAATAACCATATCATCAATAACAACAGTCACAAGAAAAACAACGACACATACTACTATATCAACAAAAACAACAATGTTAAAGCACAATCCTTTACCTCCAATATCCACATCAAACGCAGTCGAATAATTTCAATTTCGTTGTCACCCTCAGCCTTCGAAGCGTTTTTGCAACCAGGGACCTGACAATGAAGGGGGAAACAAGAATCAGGTTTCACTTATCCGTGTGTTTATTTTCCTGAGCCCGAGGTTACCTCAGAAAAAAAGATTGTTTTTTTCCCCCCAATCCAATGAGACTCGCAACAAAAGATACCACCAAGAAAAAGAAGAAAAAAAGAAAAAAGAAAAGAAAAGAAAAAATTGACAACAGCAGTGACCTAAATCTCAAAAGCAATAGCAACAACGGTAAACGAGGACGACGACAACAACAATAACAACAACAACAACAATAATAACAATAACAACAATAACAGCAACAACAACAACAACAACAACAACAACAGCAGCGGAATTGCTATGTCGATATTCAAAGTAAATATGCAACGTATCGTGGTGAAATTAGGCGCTCGTCAAAACTATGACATGGAAGAAACTAGCCTTGTTCTGCCCGATTGGCAATTTTTATCAAATTTATATTTTTTTACGCAACGCCTTCTAAATCCATTTGAAGACACTTTTTTATGCGGATTTTACCGAAACACGTTTAAGATACCGCCATAAAATGTAAATTTGCAGTGTCCAAGGACTCTTAAGCTTTGGGAGTCACGCAACTTGGGTGGCAAACTTCAATTGCAAATATTTCGACTTCTATTCATGTTAGATGAGAGGGTTTTTTTTTTACCGGAAGCAAGACAAATAAAATAAGCTTTACATTATGATACCAATAACTCCATATACCCAAAAATTTGCGAGTGCCTGTTTCCACCGCGTCCTGACACATATGATTAAAATAAGAGCAAGAGAGCAACGGCCTGTAACTTCCTACTGCCCCCCCCTCCCC